GCTGCGGTGGCCTGAGCGGCCACTGCACTCGTCTGGGCGACCGAGGGAGACTCCGACTCAAAAAAAAAAGTGGATACAGATCTAGCACTTTTATTTTTAGAGCAGCGTCTCGCTTTGTGGCCCAGGCTGGAGGGCAGAGGTGCTGTCGTGGCTCCCCGCAGCCCCCATCTCCTCAAGCGATCCCCCCACCTTATTCTCCCGAGTAGCTGAGGTCACAGGTGTGCACCATGCCCAGCTAACTTTTTGCAGTTTCGTCTAGAGATGGGGTCTCCCTATCTTGCCTAGGCTGGTCTCAAACTACTGGCCTCAAGCGATCTTCCCACCTCGGCCTCCCAAAGTGCTGGGATTACAGGTGTGAGCCCGTGCCTGGCCCCCAGATCTGGAAATTTCATTAGATTCTTAAAGTCACCATGATTCCCAAGGGGTAAGAATCATGTATACCACCTGCTAGGAAAGTAGTCTGCTTAAACAAGCCCTTTCGGCAGCCGAGGAGGTGGCTGCCCCCTACTTGTCAGGACCCTCTCCTGCCCACCCCGGGCACGACACAGCGCCAGCCTCGTACAAGGTGGGAGGGCCCCAAACTCCAGCACCCTGGTCCTTCTGAAACAGGAGTCAGCAAACGCCTGTGGGCTGGCTGCTTGTTTTTATATATAAAGTTTACAGTTGTGGAGATTTGAAAATGTTTTGTAGAGAAAGTTTGTTTTTGGTTTTTTTGAGTTGGCATCTCACTCTGTCGCCCAGACTGGAGTGCAGTGGCCGCTCCCGGCCACCGCGGCCTCGATCCGCTGGGCTCCGGCGATCCTTCCGCCTCAGCCTTCCAAGGAGCCGGAACTACAGGCGCGCACTACCACGACCGGCTAATTTTTGATTTATTGTGGAGATGAGGTCTCGCCAAGTTGCCTGGGCGGGTCTTGGACCCGCGGGCTCAGGCCGTCCAGTCACCTCGGCCTCCCAAGGCACGGGGTGACAGGCTGAGCCACCGAGCCCGGCCTGGAGAAAGTTTTATCGGAAAACAGTCATGCTTGGCTGTTCTGCACAACAACAGCAGAGTCCTCAATTCCAACAGAGCCTATATGGCCTGCAAACCTAGAATATTTACTATCTAATCCTTTAATAAAATGTCTGCAGCAGGGCATGGTGGCTCACACCTGAAGTCCCAGCACTTTGGGAGGTAGAGGCGCGAGGATTGCCTGAGCCCAGGAGTTTGAGACCAGCGTGGGCCACTTGGTGAGACCTCATCTCTACAATCAAGTTTAAAAAAATTTGCCAGACTTGATTGCACATGCCCAAGGTTCCAGCTACTCTGGAGGCTGAGGCGGAAGGATTGCCGGAGCCCAGCAGCTGAAGACTGCGGTGGCCGTGAGTGTGTCACTGCCCTCCAGGTTGGGCAACAGAGACTCCAACTCAAAATGAAATGTTTGCAAATTAGCCATGCACAAGGGTATGCACTGGTAGTCCCAGTACTCAGGAGGCTGAGGAGGGAGGATTACCTGAGCCCAGGAGGTTGAGGCTGCAGTGAACTGTGATCACACCACTGCACTCCAGTTTGGGCGACAGAATGAGACTCAGACTCAAAAAATTAAAATAAAATAAATTGAAAAGTTTGCCAACCTCTAATATAAAGAGGGACAGGATACAGGTAGGAAT